TCCGAAGAAGCGGAACATTTTGCCGCACCTGCGGAATAGCAGAAGCGGTCCAGTGAGTGCATGTGCGGAGGTTTCCTGGGTAGAATACAGAAGTTAGCCAAATCGGGTTTTGGCTCATTTCACCTCTTTTCTCTCGTTAAAGTCGGCCTTGGGGGCAATTTTGTAGTGCCATTTTGTCATCCTTCATGAGGTAAGTGTTCCCCACATATAGTGAGTTAAATACATGGTTGATGCATGGATTCAAGCATGAAAATTTGGGAAAATTTGTGGGAGTTTTGGTAGAAAACCTAGAATTGGTATTTTTGGATTTTGACCACGAATTAGGGCATGGAATTGAGAACAAATCATATATTGACTCCATGATGTTATGGGAAGTGGTTATCTTCGAATATTTTCGGAATCCGGGCACGTGGGTCTGGGGATGAATTTTAGGAAGTCTTCAATTTGGATTGGAAAATCACTTTAATAGGTAAGATTTGAACTCTTGAGCATGTATTGACTATTTTATATAACATTTGACTAGCTTCAATCGTTTGGCACCGAGTTGAGGATTTAAAACACATTTTTGGACCGGAAAGTAAGCTTCGAGACGAGGTAAGTCTTCTGTCTAACTCTATGAGGGGGAAAAATACCCCTAGGTGTTGTATGTTGATGTGTGCTACTTGTTGTGAGGGCTACATACGCGTGAGGTAACGAGAGACCGTACGTAGCTATATTCATGTTATAGTCCGGGTAGGCTTAGGTTCACATCATGATGCAGCTGCACTATTTGAGCATTCTCTCGCCTATTAAATTCCTCTGTTTTACATTTCTACTTGAGACTAGACTTGCTATTGTAGTGACTTCACGAGTTCATGATTAGTCACCGAATAACTTTACTCCTCTTACGGCATGTTTCCGTGATATATATACTTCATGAAAGGTTTTTGCTAAAGAAATTACAACTCACACGTTTATTCGTGAGTGAGCTCAAGGACCCGTCAAAGCTTCTTATTCTAATGGTATAGGGTCGTTCGCCTCGGCAGGATTATGTATTTCACTCTTATGGTATCTGGTCGTTCACATCGGCAGGATTATGTATTTCACTCTTATGGGATCGGGTCGTTCGCCTCGGCAGGATTTATGTACCACACTCTCATGGGAGCGGGCCGTTTACCTCGAAAGTTTAATAGATGCATCTATGGTTCGTGCCGTTCGACCCTCGGCAGTGCACATTTTAAATATTTATGTTGGATTAGGCCATACGCCTCGGCATTTCCTATTTCATATCCTCATAGAATCGTGCGTAATATTTAGCAAGAAGCCAGTATATCTATGAATTTTCCCAATTTGGGTTATGACAATCTATCTGATGAGATCCACTATATCTATATATATATGCTCCGATTAAGGGGAGCATTTCTAAGGAGAGCTCGAGTTTCCTCGTAAAGAGGGGGATTTGTACCACTCGATTTATACTTGTTTATCTCATTTATTTACTCTGCCTCATATTTACTTACCTCTTTACTATACTTGGTGTTATTGGACCACTAGTGAGTGTCGATGTCGACCCCTCGTCACTACTCCTCCGGGGTTAGGCTAGATACTTACTAGTACATGTTGATTACATACTCATACTACACTTGCTGCACATTTTGTGCAGGTACATATGTGACTAGTGGCCTTGTAAGAGAAGAGGCATGTATACATGTAGGGACTTACGTGAGCTGCATTCCATTTACGACCCGCAGCCGGCAGAGTCTCTGTCAGAGTATTTATATTTCTCCTGTCTAAATTTGTATTCCGGACAGATGCTGTATTTTATTTTACATTCCTAGTTGATGCCCATGCACATATGACACCGGATTTTGGGGTGATTATTGGTTGTTCTATATTGAAATTATTAAGAATATTATTATTTACACTGTGAATTCCATCTTTTACTGTTTTATTGAAGGAAATATGACTTCAAAGATATTAAAATGAGAACCGAATTAAGTATTTATTTTTGGCTTTCCTGACAGCGGTGTCTGGCGCCATCATAACCTTTAATGAATTTTGGGTCGTGACAACATGGTATCAGAGCACTAGGTTCACTTATGTCTCACGAGTCATGAGCAAGTCTAGTAGAGTCTTGCGGATCGGTATGGAGATGTTTGTACTTATCTTCGAGAGGCTACAGGGCTGATAGGATCACTTCCCTTCTTGATTCCTCATCGTGCGATTTGATTCCTTTGAGGCTTGTGCCTTTATTTCTTTCCTACTCAATCTTATGTGATGTGAAGCGCTTGTTATCAATTGGGAGTCGAGGAACTTTAATAGTACTACAGAGTGCAGGATGTTTCTCCCTGCGTATTTGATTGGGCTATTGTCGTCGCCTTGCGGAAGGTCGTTCTGTCATTTCAGCTCAGTATCAGTATTGCCTATCATTTGAGATTTGGCACTGATTGTTATGATGATTGGTGCGTTACTATCACATAGTGATGATGCAATGGTAGGATACTTATCTACGTGTCGGGGCAGTAAATGATTCGAAAGGAGGTTTTTCTCAATACATGATTCAGAGGCTCAGTGTTTTATTTCCAGCAGAGGAAAGGCAATCGGACTATGAGTGTTTGGGTTGATGGGAGTAACGAGGATTGGTATTTTGAGAGTGGTGAAATTTTTATCTGTGATGTGGTATCGTCGTCCTTGATTGAATGTGTTAAGTTCGCCGGTGTTATGGTCTTCTTCAATTCGCCTTTGTGGTAGGGTATTGTGGAATAGTGTCAGGGAAGTGGCTGTCAGAGATCGCGGTGTTCAATGGTTCAGGATCGAATAGGTGTTCCTAGTGTTGATGGTTCGAGAAGGATGATATTCATAGAGGCATTAAAGTTGGTAGCGATCTATTTGTTCAAGTTCTACAGAGACGAATTTTGATTTAGGGAAATAGCTGGGCAGCGGAGGATGAGGAATGACATGTGGAAGGTGTCTTGTAGTAGTTAAATTTCTAGAAGGCCAAGTGTGAGAAGCGGAAGTCGGGTAGGTTCTTAAAGGAGAGGGTTTGACCAAAGTGGGAGAGTGGCAGAGTATCATATGGGTTCTGTGGTAGGATAACTACACGCCTTGGGGAAAGTTTAGAGCGATTTGGAATTTATGGTGGACAGTGACTGGGTCTATGGACTAATTTGGAATATTGGTTGCTATACTGAGGAAGGTTGGATATGACAGAAAGGAGTTGCTTGATATGAAGAGGGATGCAACCTGACTTCAGATTTGAAATGTATTATCGCACCTTTAGTTGATGTTAATGGGGAGTGAACAAACTTGTACAACTAGTGAATAAGCACGGGCTCAGAATGATTTACTGATTTCGTGGTGTTGACGGAGCTTCTACGAAGAATTCTATTGGCTATCCAGTAAGAGATCGAATATGTGAATGTGGCTAGTGATTCAGAATGTTCACGAAATATTTTACTGGAGGATTTCGAGAAATTTGGCAGGTCGATTGTGCAGGCTCATGTCTATAAGGAAGGAGGAATATTGGTGGGTTCCGGAGTTATGTAATTATAGCTTCAAGCTTAGTGGGAGAGCCCCACCGTCTATAATTTGATTACATGGTTTTCTACTTATGAGGTTTCTGGTTATCGGCATATTGGTGGGTTATTACGACTAAGGAAAGAAAATATCAGTGGTAATTTGAGCAAAGGATTAGAGAAATGTGTGCTATACTTGGGCCTTATCGGTTCATGTTCAATTTTGAGAAGACTCAGAGTTTCTGCTTCTAGTGGAAGTAATGTACAAGGGAAAAAAATTAAGTTGGGTGCTTCTTTGATAGGATGTTCACGTGCTGGCAGAGCGCTAGAGTTTGGATTATACTCGGGACCAAGACAGAGTGGGTGACTCTCAACAGTGGTCCTGGTGGGTTCAAAAATTTGAGTACAGTGCCTAAGGACTTGGAATATTCTATGTTATCATTGGGTATGCGGTGCAGTATTGGAGGAAAGGAATAAGTAGCTCCGGATTCACGGAAGGTCTTGCAGAACGGGTGTAACAGTTGGCTATGCTATTGAGCGCTTAAGGAGAATATGAGATGGTTCATGGATATTTAGACGATGTGGTCTCGTGGATTGGGTCACTCATTACAAGAAAAGTGCCATTTACATGGGATTTTAATGGAAAATTCGCAGGTAAAATATTTACCTGCGGATTTTCATGCAAACATGAATCCCCAGGAATATAGGTCGTGGGTAACTATTACCTGCGAATTTTAAAGTCCCCAGGTACGTTATCTGGGGATAAATTGGCTGCGGGTGCATTACCTGGGAATGTTAAATCCCTATGTAAATTACTTGCGGACTGTTCCGCAAGAAATACCAAAATATCGTAAGTAAAATTTGGTAAAGAATTGTGAAAGGAAACAGTTTTCCTAGGGATTGTCATGGGCAAATATTCGCATGTAATTCCGCAGCAAAACCCCCAAGTAAATTTGCAGAAAATATTCAATAAAAATTCCGTGGGAAAAGGGAATTTCGTGGGAATTTGATGTGATAATTTCGTAGGAGAATTCCTAACAAAGTCTCCATGTAAATCCCCATATACTGTATATTTGCAGTTAAATTCTCAATAAAAGATTGTTCCGCTTTAGGGCACTTTCCCATGAAAATCCACAAGTAACTTGTACATTTTTTAAAAGTAAATTTATTGGTATTTAGTCCCAAATTATATTTCACACAATTCAATATACATATGATATTAATCCTTTTATTTAAAACAAACAACTCTGCACAAATCTGAAGTAATATATAAACAAAATATGATCCATAAATTAATAAATAATAATGCATAATTCCTAAATGAAAAAAATGAAAAGTCTAAACTGTAAATCTTAAATAGTACTACCAAGTATCTCAATCCTAATCATACTCATCTAAAGAGTTGTTGTTATCATCATTGTCACTATGAATCTTGATTGTCTTCCGAAGATGAAAATAAAAATTCTAAACTGTAAATCTTAAATAATAATATCAAGTATCTCAATCCTAATCATACTCATCTACAGAGCCAAGACCTGCAACTTTTCCTTTCTTCTTTCCACCAACTGATAGCACCCAAATATCCATTTCACCTAATTGAGATAGCTCGCTAACTGAATTAGTTTCTCCATCAACAGATGCACTTTGTGAAGCTAATAATTCTTCTTTATTTTTTTCAAACTTATTCTGCACAAAAGCATTGAAACAAATATTAGTGGTTTTGCATTAAAACAAATATTAATAATTTTGACAACTGCTAGCACTTAAGCACATCTTTCCCTGGCATTTTAATTGGACTGTAGAATACTAAAGAAAATAGAGCAAAGACTCCACACAAGTAATCAGATGTTTTCCTGAATTAAACCAAAAAGGGTACTTAAGAATAGAGTTCAATATAATTAGTTTTTCGGGATTAACAAATATAGGCTGATGAGTATAAAAATATATCTACACTATCAAGTCACTTAAAAGGAAATTACATGCCTAAGTTTATAGTTCAATCAAAAGCTTTAATTTGGTAAAGCTAGTAGGTCCAATTTAGAAAGATTAATATTATTCTTGCTTATTATCACTACAATAAAATAATGGCTACTTGGCCACTTTCTTTTTTTTATCTCCTTTTCTATCTTTTATGTTTTTCATAATGGTCTAATCTAAAGATCTGCCTAGGCCCTAATAAGGCATATTAATTACATAGAGCAAGTTTGTGCATAAGTTTGTTGGACTATTAAATTCTCTGCTCTTTTTGAAACAACCAATTATATATCAACCTAATAGAGTAATGACAGATAAATAATTTCAATACATATATTTTGTAGAAGGAAGACTTACATAAGCAGCTTCAGCTTTCTCATTTACCCAACTTTTATCTTTCTCCTTTCGATGAGTGCGAAAATAAAATTCTGAAAATGAAGGATCTTTTCCAGTTGTTTTCTTCTGTAATTAAAGGAAGATGTGTATGCTATCAACATTTATATGATCTATGCACTAGAAAAAATAAATTAAAAAGGAACTATATATTACCAATCTCTTCCAAATTACGCGATGAAGTATACAACCATCTGTATGAGCCGAGGCACCTGCATTTGCATCGCGATTCTTTTTGTTTTGTTCCGACTTTAACTTAAATTGAGGAGACTCCCAATGCTCCTTCATCTCCTTGAATACTGCATCACCCATCCAATTTGGCTTCATCACAGACAAGTCCTTTCTAACATCTTGGAAACGTTGGGTCATTCTTGAAGATGCCCTTTTCTCAAAATTGCGTCGTATAGAATCATTATAATGAGGGAACCATCTAAATTTAGTATTTTATAACACAATACATATAAACATAAAATCTGAATCAGTCCTATAAACTTACACACCAATATTTGAATATGAATCGTATTATAAACATCCTTACCTTGAATTCTTCAAATCACATATCCCGAGTAGGTTGTGGGAATTTCTTCCAAGAAGGTTTAGCCAGCTCAAATTTACTACGAATGCAACTAGCAATACCTTCAATAACTGGCTTATGAGGATCAAACCTAAATAAACCCTCAATGGTAGACAAATAATCAAAATGTCCGAAAACATACCTTCTAAATTAGTCATAGCAAGTAGGGTACTAAAGTAGGAACAACCAATATAATAAATTAAAGTAAAGAAAACTTTTACCAAGACTCAAGCTATTAAATTAACTCCAATAAAATAAAGCGAATGAATAATTCAAGTTTCTAAAGCTCAACCAAATATTAAGGAAATATAAATTCTCAAAGCAAGTCAAGCCATTATATGTCAATGAGTCTTTACAATTCACAATTCTTAAAGAGAAAATCTGGGCAGCAGCTCTGCCCTGTATTGCAGCAGATTTTTGAGGCTGTAAACCACAGAACTGGACATCTAGGTCTTTATAATAATTGTAGATATCTCTCTTATCTTTTTACAGCCTTTTGTATCACCCCAATCGGATTTTTAGAGAAAACGTTATGTCCAAAATAGTAACTGCTGTCCAATTCAAAAACGGGATTAAATTTCTGATTTTAAATGACTAAAATTCACCATGCAAAAGATATACTAATTTACATATAGATAGAGTAAGAAACTTACTGCAAGTTTGAGAGAGTTTCTCCACAAAATCCAAAACCTAGGGTTTCCAAAATACGCTCATTCCATCTTGATTCTTGAAGGTTAAATCTAAATCTTCCTTCAATAGGTAAGTAAATAGGTTTTAATATTTTAAACTTTGAATTTTAATGATGAAAAAAGAGTTGCATGTATATGTGTTGAGCTCTTCAATGGTGTTTGATATCGAAGAAGGAGGACAAAGACTTTGAGAGATAAGGGGGCTGTCAAACGAATCCCTCAAAGAAAAATCCTAGAAAGTTCTTTCTATACAAAAATAACCCAGTATAATCTCACTAGTGGGGTCTGAGGAGGGTAGTGTGTATGCAGACCTTACCCCTACCCTGAGGTAGAGAGGCAGTTTCCGATAGACCCTCGGCTCCCTCCCTTCAAGAACTCCCCACCTTGCTCTTGGGGTGACTCGAACTCACAACCTCTTGGTTGAAAGTGGAGGGTGCTTACCACTAGAGCAACCCACTCTTGTCCTAGAAAGTTCTTTCTATCTAGGGTTAAAAGATTATATTTTACAAATTTACACTATAACCCCATTTTACCTAGAATGGGTAAAGAATAGTCATTACTCTCTTAAAATATATATATATATATACTAGACCCATAAGATTCATTTTTTTTTCTATTTGTCTTATTGGCCCTTAGAAAATCTCTACACCTCCTTAAAGGTCTGCCACTGGTATAAATTATTTTTTCATAAGTTACCTAAGCAATACATTCTAAAGTATCTAATGAACTAAATACAAATACATATTTGAATTAAATAAGAGAAAATCAATTCTATTAAAAAAATAACTTTTAAATAGCATGGAAACTTAAATTTAAAGAAAGGGTGAAATATTTTAAACAACATATACATGATTAAAAACAATAGTCAATTAATGTATATAATATTTTATAAAAATTAGGGCGTTACAAAGACAAGAACTCAAATGATAAAATCATTCTCAAATAGACACATTGAAGTCCCTAATGAAATAAGCCATGAGCATGTCGCCACTAACAATTTGTCTGTGGGAAATTTCTGTGGGAAAATATTGTGTTTCTAGTAGTGATTTTTAATATCAAAGAGTAATTGATTGGATGTCTTAGTGGGATTTATCGTTGTATTTAGATTTGTGTTCGAAATAAATAAATAAATAAATAATTTCTCACTAAAAGAATTATTTTAATAAGATAAAACTATAATTAATAAAACAATACTTATAGTAATCTTACTGTCATCGAGGCCAAAAGAAATATGTGGCAAAACATCATCACCTCAATGATAGTAAGATTACTATAAGTATTATCGTCGAGCAAATTGAGTATAAAGGTGGTATATTAGTTTATATAAGCAATATGCTGCTTATGTTGATACCTAATTTTTTTCTCATATATATACTTTCAAAATAGTGCATATGCATCATCATTTGATTTATAAGCATACACAAGTATTTTTATAATTTTTCATAATTTTTAAAGACTATAAACTAATTTATTTCTGCATTTTTATTGTATAAATATCCAATAATTATCCTCCAAATTATTTTATGATGATTTAATCATCTAAACTTATCATTTATACAAACATCATATTTTAAATATTTTTTTCAGTGCATTCTTTATAATTACATTTGCATTGTAGGGCTAATTGCATATTTTTGCAATAATAGCCCATATTCATGTATAATTACAGTATTTAGGCAAAGAATAACTTTTTATATTTTTATAATGTTAAGTTATATATTTAAAAACTAGCCCCATTTTTAACCTATTTTCGGACCAAATAATGGTCCAAAACACCTAATACACTAGCCCAAATAACCCCAGCCCAAACCAATGACCTACTAATCCCAACCTGGTCGGTACCGTTTCACACGACCCGCCCCACTCACTTTTTAATCCTGGCCGTTGATCTCTCAATATCAACGGCCCCTAATATTTCCCTCCTTTTAATTACCCCTTTCACCCCTAACCCTAATCACTCCCCTTTGCCAGCCGTCCTAATATTTTCTCATCTCCCTTCTCCTTCTCTGAAGAACCCTAAACCCGCCGCCCTAAATCTTCTCCTAATCCCACCTAATATGTGATTCCACGGCTATTACTTACCATACTCGGCCTCCTTCTGGTACTGGCTACTCTCCTATAGTGCTTGCCTAAACATGGCAAGCAGATCTCATCATATTGAACCAAAATCGATTTAAATTCCTGATTTTTGATTGTTATTCCGTCCATGTTCATCATATGCCGTGTGTAGTCCGATTTTGTTTATATTTTGTTGACTCTTACTTACCCTAAAACTAGGGTTTACAGAATCGAACCAAAATTGTTTCAAATATCTGATTTTAAGTGATGTTTCCATCTATATTCATCATATTCTGTGCAACGTTTGATTTTTTATTTTTAGATTCTGCGAATTTTTTGTACTTTCTCTAAAATTAGGGTTTTGAAATTTCTCTCTTTTCCTTACTGATTTCGATTGCATGTGGTGTTCTTTACTTTCTAGTGTTTGATTGATAGTTTTTCATGTTTATGTGTTCGATTTCTATACTATATAAACCCCTCCCCTTCCCCCTTTTGAAATAGACTTCAATCACCATTTTCCACTAAAACAACTGAGGTTTCTACTCTATGTTTGCTTATTACTCTGTTCTGTTTGGCTCTTGTCCGGATGAAAGCCAAGGCCACCGGATTTCTATTCTTTCCGACCTCTCTTGGATGTGAGCACTGCCATGGGTTCTCGAAACCCTTGGAACTTGACGAATTCAAGATTTTGGGTCCCTACTGTCGTTCTTTTCCTTTTTGTTGAACAATCACTGGTTAGTTTCTAACTTTCGCAATGTTTATCATGTTCTAATTAGCATGTTCTTCGAATTGCATGACCTAATATATTCTCCTGACTCTTTTCCTGTTTAATTCTGCCTATAATTGCTAGCTTAATAATGTCTTTCTACTTAACTTAGTTAATTCATATAAAATAAAGCATGCTTAGTGTAGTGTTGTTCTGATTACATGGTTTAATCAATGTTTCTTGGCCTAATTACGAACTTTCAGTGATTAATTGATGTTGTTAACCTGCCCCAATTAGTTTAAGACCTTTACTCTAAGTGTAGTATGCTCTTATGACTATGGTTTCCACTCTATGTGTTCTTGCCATATCCAAATCTGCACCTCTAACGAACTTGTTATCCCTTAAATTTGACGGATACCCTCTATGATATCTAATCATGTTTGCATTATACTGTGTAATCCTGAGTTTGGGTATAATCTGATCCTTTAAGTTCTAAACTGGTTGTATTAATTGGTTTTACTAGTCTAATGTCCTTGCCTGTTAACTTTGCAATCCCAGGCTCCTTGTTTCTTATCCTATGTAACTCTTCCCCAATGTATTAGTTTGCTTCTCGAGTTCATGTTCATTATGTGATTATCTTAAAGTGTCTACAAATACTTTTCCAAACCCATTACTTTATTGCTATTTTTCATTGGTTGTTTCCCTGTTCTGAGTCACTAATTCTTGGCCGGCTGAAAGCCAAGGCCTCCTAAAACTTCTCTATTAACCTCCCTAGTGTGAGCACTGCTCGGGGTCCACTTTGAGACCCTTGTGAACTCTGACACACTAGGGCCTAAGGTTCTTGGCCACTTTCTTCTTGACTGCTCAATTATGTCCCTCTCTATGCCTACTGGATAATTGACTTGTGTAAATGACTATTCTTCTGTATCTTTTGATCGACTATGATTGTGGGTTATCATCCAAGTTCTCTTGTGGTTTCTAGGCTGTGTTGAAACCTGCATGGATACAAAACTGAAGGCGTGGCTGGGTTGGGTACACTTTGGGCCTGTCTTAGGCCCACTATAATTATTTGTATCATTTTTTTGTATTAGGCCTGTAATAATTTTGTAATAACAATTGGGATGTTAGTAAAATTAGAAAAATGGGTCTATCATAATGTTTGCATGAGACGGGTAGAAATCCTACCTATAGGTGTATAATTGCTCAAATATGTTCTGCTACTATGTGTTGTTAGACATACTGCCTATAGGACCTGAGTGCTTAATTCGTTTAACATATTATGCTCCTATATGTTTTGTTAGATATCATACCTATAGGAAATAAAAATGACAAATCTCCCAAT